AAGGACATCGTACGGATGAGGACACCAAGGCGTGAGCAGGAACAAGGGTCTGCTCTGCGGGGTGGTGGGATCCGGCCTGGGACCTCGGCAAAGCTCTGTCCAATCACCCGCCCAGGGCCTGGCGCGCAAACAAAAACCGCCGTGCCCGGATCGTGGTTTTGTGGACAGTCTCGTCCCCTCAGTTCAGCAGGACGAGGGCACCATGAGGACGGTGCTTTACCCTACGGCTTCCTCCCCGGGCCCTCAGGAACATGCTCTGCAGACGCTGTAGGGCTGCAGTTCCAGAAACTGTTTGGATTTAAGGAAATAAATGGCAGGGGGTTTGTGGGCCGACATCAGCGCGTCGCGTTGGCCGCAGAGCAAGAGCCGAGGCTGAAAGCAAAGAGCACAGCGCCACCTGGTGTCCGCGGCCGAGACGCCCGGCTGGGGCTCAGCAAGAGGAGCTGAGGCCCTGCAGGGGCGAGAAGCTCGCGGAGATTCGCCGAAATCCACGAGCCGCGGGCGACGGGGCTGAGGCTGGCGTGTTTGGTTTGCGGCTCAGCGCTGCGCCCGCGAGGCCCAGCGAGGGCCAGGCAAGAACGCGGGCGCCGTGTTTCCCGAACGCCAGCTCGCTCGGGGCACAGACGGCGGCTGCAACTCGGAGGAGGACCCTGTCCTTAGGGCAATGAAGCGTTCACGGGGGACCGGAAGGGAGGGGAGCGTGTCGCCGCGCAAGCTTCACGTCGCACAACCCCAGGGCCAGAGCCGGGCCGCACGGTGGCCCTAATTTAGGCTTTAGGACTAGATCAGCCTGGACGCGCCGCCGTACTGGGCTCTCCCTCCCGTCCTTAAAACAGAGGTGCTGAGTGACACCCGGACCCCCGTCTCCCAGGTCCCTCCCTGGGCCCGTTCTCCAGCCGCTCGGCCTCCTTGCGGATCCTCCACCGCCAGGGAAAGCTGCTCTCGCCTGCTGGGGTTCAGATGTCTGCTGGGACGTTCCCGAACCCCCTGACCGGTCCGGCCCCCTCCGCACCCCCTGGGTCCCACACCGCGCTCGGCGCGGCCCACTGGGTTCGTCTTGTTCAGTCCTCCGTTGACAACGCCCCCCGCACCGTGCACAGTGGAAAACCATTTGTAATGGGATGGATTCGATTATTTCGAACTCACGACTCTCCTGCAAAGTACCCGGGGAGAGGAAGGGCAGGGAGAGTTGGAGTAACATGAAGGAAGGGACTCAGCGCTCCGCACTGGCCTCCCGGCGCCCCTGCCACCTGCGGCTCCCACTCTGGTGACGCGGCGGGGACACTCTGGCCCTGCCCAGGCTGCTCGCAGAGACACCTGCCAGCCCTCACAGCAGACCTGGGGACCCAGGCCACTTGCCCGGCAGGTGCGCGGCACAGCTGGGGTCTGAACCCAGCTTTCTGAGTCCGCGGCGCTGCGGCGGGTGAGACGAGCACCGAGAAACCATCCCTCTGCGGCGATCGGCCTCAGGAACTGCAGTGGGGCATCACAGCCGGGAAGCTCCTAGAAGCCGCCAAGGAAGTAAGAATCTCCACGCTCCGGTTTACCGACACGGGGCCGTGAATCTAAAAGGGATCTAAAACATTGCTCGTTTCTTGGTGTCAGTTTCCCACGTAAAGCGGTAACTAGCCGGGCATCCGCAGTTGGCACGGCTGGGCATTCTCAGGCAAACGTGGCAGGCCGGGCGGGCGGACATCACACGTGTTTGGAAAGCAACGAGCAAAGTTCGCCTTCTCTGAGACGCCCGTTTGGCTCCTCCACCCACACTGATGGTCACGCAGCAACGTTGTCACTGATCCTGTCGTTTAACTATCCGCTCGCTGAGCATCCGCGGATGCCCACCCCCAGCCCCCCACGCAGCCCCCCAGACCAGCGGTCCCCGGCCTTTGGCACCGGGGACCAGTTTCACGGAAGACAATTTTTCCACGGGGTGTGGGGGGACGGGACGGGGGAGCTCAGGTGGTGACGCGTGGCCAGGTTCCTAACGGGGCCCCCGGGGGTTGGGGACCGCAGCCCTGGACGACTCCAGCCACCACCAGGCCCAGTCGTGGGATACGTCTGAGCTCCGCCCACACCGATTCCCCCCAGGCTACTCCAGAACCTTCTTCTAGATTCCAGAACAGCAGCCTAAAATCAGCGTCTCTCTGAGGTGTGTTCCAAGGGGTTTGTTACTAGTAACAATGCACTGCAGGGATTTATTTCTCTGCACGTCCGAGCATGGCGAAAGTTATCCCTACATCACAGGTATTATCCCCGGCTCCCGTCCCCTTCCCTGTGGCTTCCTTCAGGGACCACCCCGCCCTCCCGACACAGACCACGGGCCCAGGTGCGGATAATCTTGCTCCTCCGTCCAGGTGGGAGTGTGCCTCCGGCCTGCGCACTGCCTGGCCCAGAGCGGGGCCCCGGGGCCGGTCCGAACGGGACAGAGAGAAACATCGCTGTGCTTCTCGACCCCGTCAGGGTGACTCCTGGAATTCTCAGTTATTTCCCCGGTTCCACACGGGAACGCTGCTCACAGCCGGCAACTGCTCGCACGACGGAACCTTCCTCCCCTCCTGGCTGCAGCCTACAAGCAACGTGGCGACAGCCAAGTGCCGCACGAAGGTAAATAAAAGGGTGCGTAAATCCAGTGCCTGCCTTTCAGTGTCCCGAGGGACGATACCGGAGTTTGGGCAGATCTTCAAAGATCATGATGGGGAATCTGAACACTGTCCCTTTGTAGCTGATGATTTTAGTTTAACTTGGGATACTGAATGTGGGCACATCCCATCTCAGAGATGAACCTGCGGCCCTACATCCTGCCCGTCCGTCTTTCTTTGCGGGAGGCCACGACAATGCGTAACAATCTCTTCCACGAAACGGGGACGCCGGGGGCTTCCGACGGCGAGATGGGGGAGGACGGCACCTCTGCAGGCCCGCAGAGGAGACCCCCACGTGCAGGACCGCGGCGGGGCCCCGCTTGGGCCGTCCCTGCTGCGGGTCGAGCCCCAGCTCCGGGCTCACGAATTCGCACAGTCCTCCCCTCCCACCCGGCAGCACACAGGGGGTCGGTCGCCCGCGGTTACTTTCATTGTTCCGTTGCCGCTCTCCCTGCGTCTTAGCAGCTGGGAGACACGTGCACGTTTGCGTGCTGCGGTTTTGGCACACGTGAAGGGAGCCGTGTCACATTTCAAGGTTCATGGGTTTTAGAAGCATGTGTTTCAACCCGTCCTCGCAGCCAAGATTCTAGCGCAATCCACCAGTCCCCGGAGAAAGGTGACGTGACTGAGAACAGAGAACAAAGTGTCCAGGAACGGAGTGTGAGTATCAGACGCCACCGAGAACAAACGCAGTGCTGGAGGGAATCGCGGAGCGCGGCAGAGCAAGAGGGCCAGGTGGCCAGTCCCGTCACGGCCGTGCTGGACGCCGAGAGCCGATTTACCGCCCAGAGCCGGGGCCCTGGCAGCCCGCAAGGCTCCCACGGGCAGGGTCAGACAGGTTCGGCCCTGCCGCCGCGGCCCAGCCGTGACCACAGGCGACTTCAGCTCTGGGAGGTCCAGCTGCTTCTGTTGTAAAGATTAAGTAACGAGCGTACAGAAACCGCCTTTTCCCGAGGCACTCTGCTCAACAGATCACGGCAATTACCGCTGTGTTCCACCGTGACCGTTCAGGCGAGCGTCTCTCCCGCGCTCGTGTAAGGTAAAACCTCATGGGCTCGGCCCGCGCCTGTTTTTCTCTTCCCCACCGACTTGCAGGGACACGTACGATAAATAAAATCTCTTCAACACGAAGTCTACCGAAAACACCCTGTACGCGGCTGAAAACACCGTGCACGTCAGCACACCACGCCTGGTAACGGACCAACGAACACCCGCCCGGCGTATCTGCGGACACGCTGCCCACAAACTGGATTTTCTGCATTTCGAAAGAACAGCCCACTGCGTGGGGGACGCCAGGTTCCAAGCCCCGTCTTGATAAAGTCTTAGAGGTCGTGTCAATAACACACAGAGACTTTCCCTTTTACATTTTAAGCCCTAAGTGCCGGCTAAGTTAGAAATAAAAATTGCTTTGCTTTTAGCCACTTTCTGCTTTTATTGTGCCACTGAGACGTGTTGTTTTAGATTCTTCGTCATTAGTGACCTACGATCTGAGAATGGAAAATGGTCTGTTCGTAAAATAGGCACAGCACAGGTAGGTAGAACCACGCTGAACCACACGGGCACAGAACCACTGCAGCCTGAACTTAGAAATAAATCAGGCCAGAGAGAAGAGAGACTCGCGAGGCCGTGACTTCCACTGCAACGTTTATGAAGACGCATCGCCCAGACCCCGTTCTTACTCGGGTGCTCTTCCCTGCGCGCCTGTGGCGCCCTGCAAAGGCGCTATTCTATCGGTGCTGATCTCGCCGCCCTGCGATCGCTGCTTCAAACAAACACCTCCCGGAAAACCGAGGGCAGGAAGCATCCGGATAAAGCTCTATCTCCTAACACTTAGCCTGGGGCCTCAAACACAGTGTCGACAGACGCGCCGTAAATGGGCCCCGAGTCATTGGGAGACATGTGCTCCCCTTAAAGAATTCACGAGACAGGAGACCGCGTTAAAAACATCAGATTTAGGCCAGGCGCGGTGGCTCATGCCTGTAATCCCAGCTCTCTGGGAGGCCGAGGCGGGCGGATTCTTTGAGCTCAGGAGTTCGAAACCAGCCTGAGCAAGAGTGAGACCCTGTCTCTACTAAAAATACAAAGAAATTAGGTGGACAACTAAAAATATTTATAGAAAAAATTAGCCAGGCATGGTGGCGCATGCCTGTAGTCCCAGCTACTCGGGAGGCTGAGGCAGGAGGATCGCTTGAGCCCAGGAGTTGGAGGTTGCTGTGAGCGAGGCTGACGCCGCAGCACTCTAGCCCGGGCAAAAGAGTGGGACTCTGTCTCAAAAAAAAAAAAAATCAGATTTAAAGGAAAAAAAATCAGAAACTGTATGTAAGAATAACAGAGCAAACCAACTCTGGAAAAGAGTTCTGCACCTTGGTGGTCGCATTTATTGGAAGTGTCAGAGAAAAATAAAAATGACATTTAGCTTAGGAAATTGGGAGTTATCTGCACATCAACTCATTCCAGACGTGGAAGAATCCTTCGGTCGTTTCTTAACGTTAAACGCGCGCAGGTCTCTCTTCCGAATGTCTCACGCATCTGAAGAGGCGACGGCACAGAACCCCCTCCGGGAGGAGGCCTTCGTCTCAGCCGACTCTCAGCGGAGGGGCAACCAGGACGACGCCGTCTCCCCGGACAAACAGCATCGGAATGTTCCGCTTCGTTGACTGCAAGAGAAGAAACCAAACACACTTACACAAACGAATCTGTATTATCATTTTCTTTGTGAGAGAAACACAAAAAAACGGACTCATCGTGACACACGGAGACGGGATTAAAACCCTAATCACTCACCTTCGCGGCACAGAGAACCAACCCGTTCTGTGTCCTCTGCCGGGACGCCTACCGCTGTGGCAGGGGCTGGTGCTACCGACCAACCTCATCCTCGTCCAGTCCTGGGCGCGCCGAGACTACGCTTTCCACGCTCCCCTGGCAACCAGCTACGGCCACCAGCTTGAGCTCCAACCAACGGGGACGCGAACACGGACAGGACCACGTCAGGCCGACCCCGAAACCCCCCGTGAATGCCGTGTTCGCTCCCCCACCACCGGGTGAACTCAGAGCGGTGAGAGCCCAGGGGGCAGAGCCACCAGGAGCAGCAGCGCAGGCCCTGACCTCCCACCCGGAAGAAAGCTACTGCGCTGACCTAGGGCCCGGCCAGGGCTGTCACCAGCTTCCGCTGTGCCGAGCCGTCACGTGTCACTGCTACATGCTGCTGCACACACTCGTGGGACGGACACCCGGGGGCACCAGCTCAGTGGTCGGGCTTCAGGCAGTACGGAAACGCACGGCCCGTTTGAAACCCTAACATCGCGCCTTGGCAGAACATTAGACGGAACTTGGCGTATAGTCCGAGAGCCTCCCAAGCCTGCGGGCTCTGGGGGGAGAGGCCGCCAGACCCAAACGTGAACAGGTGAGGCTGCTAGCCCGGCGCATTCGGGCAGCGCAGGCAAGAACCAGCCGGTTTTCAAGCAGAGATTAAAATGGGGTTGGCGGGGCTAGAAAAGCCCTCGTCTTGCAGAGCCAAACTGCAGAAGTACGAACAGAGCTTGAGGAACAGGGCCCAGTAAGCTGCTCGGAAAGCAAGCTCAGGCCTGAGGCAGAGACGGGATCAGGGTGTTGTCTGTGGGACAGCTGCAACCCCCCCCCGCCTCTGAACCGGGGTTGGGCGGAGGCCCTGCGGTCGCTGCGCCACCGAGGATGGGGGGGCAAACCACTCACCGTGTCTGGTGTGCAGTCTCGGTAACGCAAGCGACCACACGTGGACAGACAGAGAACGGCGCACTGCGCGGAGGTCCCGGGCCCTGAGCTGGACGTCCCGCTGCCTCCCCGGGGTGGGGGCGCGCCCTGCGGGAAGCCCGGCTCCGCGACACCCTCTTCACGGCAGCTCGGCCACCAAACCCGCAAAGCTCGCGCAGCCGTGCCGACACCAGTGTGCCCGGCTGTGTGCGAAGGGAACACGGCAGGCGTTTCCCGCCGGGCAGCGCGGGTCTCCCCGCGGAGGTCTCCACGGCACCGCCAGGACCCTTCTCCAGCGGCCCAACGACAGCCCGGCCACCGGCCGGACGCAGCGGCCACTCCGGCTTCAACGCTCCGAGCTCCCCACAGGAGCCGGCGTCTCTTACTTCACGGTCCCCAGGGAGGGGCCGCTCGGCACTCTGGGAAGCCCCCGCTGTGGCCCCTGGCGGCATCCACAGCCGAGCCCACTCACGGCCCAGACGCGGCTACCAGCCAGGCCATTAACGTTCTCTATTAACACGGCGGATACTCCCCTTCTCACTTTGACGTGAAGAATTTTTAAAGCCTTGTGCTCACAGGTCTACAGAGACGTCTGATTGCCAGAGGGACAGACCACGGCGGAAACTGCCATAAAAATTCCTTCTTCCTCCCATGCTGGGCACACGACCAGACTACTAATGCATTTCCGGGCTCCGTGAAGCCGTATTGCCCATTTCCAGCCTAAGGAACATGAGACAAGGTCTGTGGCACCCCGGCCTGGTCCCCAAACCTCCCATTCTTTCGCTGCCGCTGGCTGGGTGTGGGAAGACGGCAAAGACTCCGGAGTCAGCGCAGCCCTGAGACGCCGGAGCCCGGTTCCCGAGTGACCTAGAGCAACGATGTCACCAAGAAGCAAAGCCCCGCTGCGCTGAGCGGCTGCACGCCTGCGGGCATCGCTCCCGGCCCAGCCAACATTAACTACAAGGTCCACGAGAACAGGCCTCCACGGCCCGCGCGTGAGTTACCCACCCCGGGCTCTGTCCGAATCTCCAGGCAGGAGACCAGGAAACAGACACTTGATTCTGGGGACAGAAAGGGACGCGGTCCGGGACAAGGGGCTCAGCGTGTGAACTGAAGCTCTCTGGGCGAAGAAAATGGCCTGAGGTTTCTACTAGCGGTGCTGAGTCTCATCCGGAATCCCTTTCGCAGGTGTGTGTACACGACAGGCGATAAGGCTCAGCTCTGCGGCCCTTGGTAACGAAACAGAGTCTTTGCTGTTTGAAGCCAAGTGCTTCACCCCAGACGAACTCTGGAGTCACTCGTGCAAACATCTACGGAGTGTCCGTCGGTGTACGTCAGGTGCCGTGACGGGCATCAGACAGCAATGAAACACGAACTTGTCCTCCCGGAATCCCCATTCTGGAAATCAAAGTATGAATTCATTCCACAGGTTACTTCCACATAAGAAAAACAGTTATTTACGGCGAGACCCTCTGTATGAGCAAAAGTCTAGAAATGGTATCTGCCCATCAACAGGCAATAGCTAATAAACGATGGCACATCCACACAGTGGAGAATCACAAAGCTAAAAACAAATGCACCACGTCGCTACGTATGAAACGAAAAGAGCTGAGATACACTAAAAGAGCGACGTCTGTAACCAGGGTACGGCACACTCACATTTTTGCAAAAAAAAAAAAATACAGGAGGGGGAGGGAGAATAATTAACACCTGTCAGCATGTGCATGGACACACGGGGAAGAGTCTCGGAAACCAGGAGCAGCGACCGCCTTGGGCGTGGAAAGATGAAGCGAGGATGGGTAGAAGACTTCGCGCTCTGCGCCTTTCTGCATTTTGATTTTAAAACTGTGACTCGATTGTCCAATTAAAAAGTTAACCTCAAACGGAAGCGACTTAGACTGAGTGAGAACAGAAGTGCGGTATGTGTGAGACATCACGGAGTGATACGTGACGTGGGTCATAAAGAGAGTTAGTCCGGTACGAGCCGGTCCAGGCCGCTCTGTTCAGCAAGCGCCACGAGCCACAAATGGCCCTCGATTAAAATCAAACGAAATGAAACATTCGGCGCCTCAGTCCCACCAGCATCTGTTTCAGGCACTAAAACGCCCCACGTGGCCCCGGCCACTGTGCCGGCAGCGCAGACGGAGAACATTCCGTACTGCAGACGGTTCTACCTAGAGAAAGGTCTGGAGGCCGACAGGCCAAGGCCTGTAACGGGAGGGAGGGAGGGAGGGAGGGAGGGAGCCGCAAGCAGAGAGGCGGGTGAGTGACAGGCTCAGCACGACGCCCCAAGAAAGTGTCTGGGGAGCCGACCTGTGGCGCGTTGGGTGAAGGAGGGCGGCAGACGGCTCGGGCGGCCGAAGCGGCTGGGTCACGCGCGGGCCCTCGGCAAGCGACGCCTCCGTGACGGCACCAGGAGCCACAAGAGCGAGACCGACCCGTCCCACCTTCCCGCTGACAAACCGGCAGGAAAGTCCGCTTTCCAGAAGTCAGTTGTGCCGGTCATGGGACAAGACCCGCAAAGCCTGTGGTCCGTGGGTCCCCGACTGTCCCGGTACCGCTGACGCCCACCGGCTGTTTCAGCAGAGGGGAGAGAGCAAGCGTGCGACGGGCCAGGGCGAGAGACCGTCTAGTGCGGATTCTCTGGCAGGAGTAACGGGACAGCGCACAGGACAGAGGGGCGGATGTCGCCGTCTTCCCTCCCTGCGCACACAGCCGACGCACAATCACACGCGGCCACGTGTGTCTGTAATGCAACCCTGCAGGGCCAGGCTGCTCGCACACACGAGAAAACGACCCTTCCTTACGGAAAACGGCCTGACGCTGCACTCTCCAGAGAAGAGCTTTTCTCTCTAGAGATGAAACAAGAAAAGCATTTTCCATCATCCAAAGATTCCGCTTCAAATATTTTACCCAACAAATCACAGCAACGTGAGGCACCTGCTTAACTAAACACACTCTGCTTCTCTTCCGCGGCCCGACTCTAGTGCAAGGGAGGCCGCAAGCCCGCGGCGCACACAGTGCGGCAGCCGGCCTCGCGAGGCAGCGGTTACGGGTCTTCATGGAGATCAGGAAACGCTCGAACTCTACGAAAGAAACTGCACCCGGAGAAACGCACACGTGCGGACAGACATCGGCCTCAGACAGCTTCCGCAGGAATCGCGCTCAGGGCGGACGAGGCACATCCCGCCGCCGGCTCACCCCACCCCCCGTGGGAGCGCCGGTTTCCCTCCTCCTACGAGTCGTTTCTGTCTCCAGCAGAGTTCGAGACAAGAGCCATAAAACGTTTACGAAGAATCTATTTCACGGGGAAATTCTGATGTTACTCGTGTTACGTGAGAAAGCAGAATGTCAAAGCTGCGTATTCTGCGTTTCATACTTCGAGGACGTCACTGTAAGCTCCGGCTGAGGCGAAAAAGGGAAAATGCTCCCGATTCAACCGCGACGCGATTCCTTCTCATACGTCGGCTGTGGGAGGAAACCGGATTTCTGAGATGCTGAAATGCAGGAAGCTGCATCGTAGACGCACTTGGCACATCACGCGCCTGGACACAGTCCTCGTGTCCATGTGTCCATGCTAAAGACATAACTAGTTGCTCGATGACACCTCCGAAGGAAACTGCAGATAAAGGGAAAAACGCCAAATGCCTGCACTCAGAGAAAGAAAGAAAGACCCCTGGCGGGAGTCAGGAGCGGCCTGACGAGCAGGGAAGCCGGAAAGAAGCAGAACGACAAGGACCCACGAAGGCTTCGGCTGCCACGCGCCTGCGGCCGTTCGCGCACCGACCCCCCTCCCGGGAGTCCTGCACGGCTGCGTCACTGTCCCCACCCACAGACACGGCAGGTGACCTGGCCCAACTACAAAGGTGGTGAACGGGGGAGTCGAGACCTGAATGGACGCGGCCCTGAAACCTGAGTGCGTGTTTAACCGCCGCGCTCCGCGGGGCCAGAGTCGGGCTCCCGGCACGCAGAGACGTTTCTGGCGGATCACGGACGACGCTGACAAATGGGATTTGTTTCGGGTATTGAACAGTGAGACGCGTCACTATGGGGAAGATCTGCATAGCTCGGCAAGCCAGTATTTCCTAAATGACCAGGGCCTGACGCAACCAAACCACACACGGGTAAAGAGCCACCTGACATGCAAGGCAGACCGACGAACTTCCATGTAACGAGAGTATGGAAAATTCATAATTAATATTTAATAAAATTACTTATCTAATTTTAAATTTTATTTAAATTATCATTTAATAAAAATAAATAAAATTTATAAATGGTGTGGTTTCAGATTCCACACTGCAACTAAACTTTAACCAACTGTCACTTACTGAGTTTGGGTGTAGTATCAAAGGTATCCACAAAAAAAAAAAAAAAAAATCCTACTGTTTCCTACTGCCTGTCTGTGCGTGCTCAGATTTTCTTCAGTTACAACAGAAAAAAAGATATGAGAATCTAGCTGTCATCAATTAAACCAGGCATTAAAGAGATCTGTAAAAACATAAAACAAAGACACTCCTCGCTACTTTGTTTTAAAAAATATAGTTATTGTTCATAAAAACGTTACTTACAATGATACGTGACAGATTGTTTTTTAATGGATATTTTAAAATTTCTCGGTTTTAAGTTTCTAATGCACTAAGTACCGATAGACCAAATCCACGTAAAATGAGAACACGCAGAGACTCGCACTGCCATCTCTCATTGAACCTGGCACCCAGAGGAGGTGAGTGGTAGTATTCCTGCCTGCAAGAAGTCTGCAAAGTTAATTCCTCTGCCCAGGCAGCCCAGGTCGGAAGTAGTCAAGCCAGTACTGGAAACCAGGTCTCTCTGATCCCAAATCCGGTGCATTTAACTGCTCTACTCCACCAAGTCCATAAGAAGGTGTCAAAACTTTCCATAAACATACGTTAAACCGCTGGATGTACAGAGCAGTTGACATTTCAGAACTGCATGACTTACTTTGTAAATCTCTTCGTACGTTTCTTCGTCAATTTCTATAGTGGTCACGGTCTCCTCCACGTCTCCCAGTATCATATTTAGATGTTGATCGTAAGCCTGGAGCGGGAAGGTGAGACAGCCAGAAATTTAATAATCAAGTTAAGAAGCAACGGACAGGGTTATGAGATGCAAATAGCTCAACTACAAGTAACACGCTTGATACTTATACCGCAGACTTTTACATGTAAATAAAAATAATCCTGTACTAATATACAGTTTCTTCCCAAACCATTTAATGATAACTTAATTAACCTGATAAAATATAAACCTGTTTACGTGGCCCAAAACGAATTTACCCAAAATAACTTGAAATCATTTTCTAGGTATCCACCCTACTTGCTATCCAAGGCAGGAGCATCATTACAATATTTAATTATGAAAAATTTCAAATCCATCACTTCAGCAGACCCCCTTCAACCCCACCTGCAGCAGCACGACGACACAGAAAAAGAGATCGAGTCCTTTTTAGCTACTCAGATGACGGCACTGCGGTCGTCCAAAGGCACCCGGCAGACTGAACGCCACAGAGGCAAAGCAGAGCGACAACCTGCACGTTTAGGACCCGCCCAGAACCTGTGGCTCGGTCGAGAAATGCTGCACTGAAGACACTCAACCCAAGCTCCGGAGCTTACGTTTTACTGGGAGGTGACCGTCCGGGGGCCTCGTTCAGAACTCTCTTACGTTTACTCCTAACAAAGCGCTAAGTGGTTCGCCTGCTCACGTCAAAATAAAAGCCGCCCACCAGCCATCTGGGGACCTGCTAGGCGGGGCACACCAGCGAGAACAAAAACGCCTGCTTGGGGGGCAGGAAACAGACAGTCGGGGACACTCAGTGGAGAGGCAGTCACGTCTACACGGGGAACTGGAGAAGCCTCCAAGCGCTAACACGTCTGTCCTGGGGGGTCTCTCCACGGGCCGCGGACTCAGGCGATCGAGCTCGAGTCTACCTTTCTTCCCTGAGTTGCTACGATTCCATTCCCGGAGTCCCTCTTCCCCTAAGGCCAGCTGTACATCAAGACGACTGTCTCCCTAGTCCCCATGTCCTTCCCAGGCCCAGAGGGTCCTCGTCTTTAGGTTTTACGGAAGGTGGCACCACAGGACCTAAGAGCAGGGCTGAGATCAGGCTGCCCAGATTCAGAGCCTGGCTCCCCCTCTACCGGCCACCTCACCTTGAGCAGGTGACCGCACCTTTCTGAGCTTGAGCTTGATTCAGCTGCGAAGCAGGGATAATTATTAATAGTACCAACCCTCCGAGGGCTGTTATAAAGATTAAATGAGACAGCACATACAAAACACTTAGAATAACTACCTGGTGCATACCTGATGCTCAATAAACGGCGGCTACCTTTAAGAACTTGAGAGTAGAGTGACAGCAATGAAAACAACACACTTAGGAAAATAACAAGTCATCCGTGAGGGGCAACACCTTCAGTGTACTCCCTACAACAAATGGGATCACGTCCAGGGACCGATTCTATGGCAATATTTGCAGATATGCACAAAGAAATATGTATGAAATGCTACCGCAGCATTATTTATAGCAGTAAGAAATGGAAATTAATCTATGTATCACTACTATATGTATCCTGGGTAATCATTAAAAAGAATAAAGGAAATTTATGTGTACTCATGATCAATGATTTCCAAGAAAGATTAAGTAGAAAGAAAAAACTGCTGAAAAATATGTATAGCAAGATATTTTTTTGTAGTGGTGGTATACACAGTGCAAATACATGCACATGCACACATATGTGTAAGTATACAGAAAAGACAGCCCATTTTTTAATAGGGTTGCCAAGAGAGGAAATGGGATTTCACCATTTACTCTATGTATTTCTGTGCTGCTTAACTTTTCATAA